ACCCCCATCAGCACATTGCCGGCATCCAGGTACAGGTCAGCAAACGACTCCACAGGCTCCTGCGCCAGGCGGGCAGGCAGGCAGGGAGGGGTTTGCTCAAGGGTGGTGCAGCCAGGGCAGCGCAGCGCCAGGAGGCAGCGCCGGTGGCGCAGCGCGCAAGCAGTGGCACTGTATGTGCGGTACGGTGCGGGTGGTACTGCCCTGCGGTACCTGCAGTATCAGGCTGAAGGCCTCCACCGCCGCCGCCACGTCGCCCAGGTGCGCCTGCGCTGTGCCCGCCTTGACCTGCGGCGCGGCGGGCACAGGCGGCGGTGAGGTGGCGGGTGGGGGCGGCCTCCTCACCCCCTGCCAGCTGGCTCCCCGACAACACCACACGCCGCACCACACCGCACCTTGCTCAGCACTGGCGCTATAAGCTAGCTAGATACTATACCAGGCGACATCCAGCCATCGCTGGCCAGCACGCCCAACCCCATGTGGACCCCCCCCACACACCACCACCACACACACCACCCCTCCCACCCCACCCCCGCACCCTCAAGTCGATGGGCAGCTCCTCGTCGGGTGCCAGCAGCTCCCGCTCCGCGCGCTGCACGGTGGCCAGCGCCGCCGCCCACTGGCCCGCGTCGCAGTACAGCTCCGCCAGGATGTTGATGTGGGTGAGGTCGGTCTGCGGGGTGGGTGGGGGTGCGGAGGTGGTGGTGGTGGTGGGGTGGGGGGGCAGGCAGGGGGTTATTGTTGTGGGTGCGTGGGACGGGCGGGGCGACAGGAGGCAGGCGGGCAGCGCGTGCGGTGCAGTTGGGTCAACTGGCACCCCCCAGCGCCGCCACCAAAGCGGCCCGTCGCCTGCCCCGTGCCCAGCCCGGCAGCGCCCCCTCACCAGCGCCGGGTAGGTGGACAGGTGTGCCTGCAGCACCTGCACCGCCCGCGGCGCCTGGCCGGTGCGGTGGAACAGGCGGGCCAGGGCCTTGGGCGCCTCGCTGTGGTCTGGCCGCGCCGCCTTGACCTGGCACGGGCATGGGTGCAGGGGGGTGGAGCGGTGAGCAGGCGGCCGACTGCCAAGGAGCGCCCGCCCACCTTCCGCGCAGCTTGTGCTGCGCTGAGGCAGATGGCTCCCTCAACACCACCGCCAGAGCCATGCAAACAACCCGCACTCGCCCCACCCATGGCATTACAGCGGCGTCACCAGCATGGCGACCGCCCCAGCCAGCGCGAAGCAGGCCGGCAGGCCCCCCGCCGCCCACCTGCTCCAGCCCCTCGATCGCCTTGCGGTTCTCCCCCATGTCGGCGTACAGCATGGCGCGGTCGTACCGCGCATCCAGGTCCTCCCTGTCCCGCCGCAACACCTGTGGTACGGGGGACACCGTGCACCCGTGGTAGTCACGGTGCACCAAGCCGGCCCCGCGCAAAGGGACGAGCTACGACAAAAGTGTAGCTCCGACATGCCAGCCCAAGGCGCACCCCTCCCCGGCCTCTTTGGGGAGGTTCACAGGCGCCCTACCGTCAACAGGCCAGCGCGCCCCACCTGGAAATCCCACCTTGAAACCCCACTCCTCTCCCACCCCCACCCACCCACCTGCGTGTAGCAGTAGATGGCCTGCCGCACCAGGCCCTGGTCCGCCGACAGCTGGGCCAGGCGGCGCCACAGGGAGATGTCCTTGGGTGTGAGGTGGGCGGCGATCATGTAGAAGTCCAGGGACTGCGGGGGGCGGGCGCATGGGGGGGGGAGGGGAGCAGGCAGCGGGGCTGAAGGGCGGTAGCGCAGGATGAGGGGCGGCAGTGGGGCGGAGAGGCGGCAGCCTGGCTGGGTCGTCCGCAGCGCCCCGGCCGCTGCAGCAGGGCGTGGCCAAGGGCCCAGCGGGCGGCGGCTGCCGCGCACCTTCTTCACGTCCCCCACCGCCTCGTGCAGCAGGCCCAGCGTGTGGTAGGGGTCGGGCAGGTTGGGCGCCAGCCGGATGATCTGCGGGTGCGGGGGGCGTGGGTGGCGGGTGGTACCGGCTGGCGGCCGGCCGGCAGCGGCAAGGCAGGCGTGGCAGCCGCAGCAACACCTGCGTGCCTGGCACACACACATCACACACACACACACACACACACACACGCATACAGATCACCAGCACGCCCCGCCCACCTCCATGAGCACCAGCACACACAGGCACCGCCTGCCCCTGCTTTCCCCTGC